CTGAGCCAGACAGGGATAGAGCGGCTGGCTCTGGGAATTATCCCATTGGGTCTCTGTTTGCCAGAATGCGACCAAAACGGAGAGGCAGAGGAACTGGAACTAAGATGTTGACTTAACTTTCTGCATTTGTTGGGCCTCCTTTTATTTTACTTTAAGATTCAGTCTTTGGCCTGAAACTGGGCTATGATGTAACTAAGAACAAGAATTCTTCCTTTTGGGAAGGGAGGGAAGAATGATCTCTTCTCTCTCTAAGCCTTATCTTCTAACATTATACTGGCAGTTTTGCTTTACTTGTATTTTCATTTTAAATCTATGACTTGTCTATAAATCTCTTTGTAACAGAACATATGGCAACTTTAAACTGATTTCTACTGCTGAAATTTTAATTCTTATGGAACTTCTTTGCATTTACATAGTTGTACCCTGAAGACCATGTGCTTATTATAGATCCAAGCGCAGGAGAAAAAAGGAGCAGCCAGTCGATCTTTCAGCCTGAATTGACTTAAAATAAAGGAGAAACACCTATGTACTTTCAGAGCTCACTGTGTTTCCATGGCGATATCATGTAATTAACTTGTAGGTCAAGACTTCAACAGAAACCAAGGAGGCATTCTGAGTGGATGATAATTGGGTAAAGCAAGCAAGCCTTCTGTCCCTCTAGCTGTCTGTACGTCTGTCCGTTCGTCCATCCCTCCATCCATCCTTATTATCTTATTAGCACACACACCAAAAAAACCCTTATTGGTTGCTTCAGAATAAAGGACAGAACCTAAAAGCCTCGTTTTAGAAAGTTTGGTTGTATAAATTTGCAGTGAGAGTTTGCCATAGATAATCTATTGGACCTCTGTCTACCTCTGTGTTAAAAATAACTGGACTTTGTTTATGAAAAGGAAAATGTTGCAAGGTTATTTTTAGCCCTGATACTTGGGGGAGGAGGGCATAAATAAACCTTGTCCTAGTGGTTTCTTGCTATGGCCATTTGATCCTTTTGGATAACATAGACATTAAGCTGTTTTCTTACACAGCTTAATAGTAGAATCATTATCGATTCCCCTGTCCTTTCCCCCACATAGTCACTAAAAAATTAACTAACTACCCTATGTTTACCCTGATTATAAATGCGGTGTCTGCCCAGTCATTAATTTGAAAGTCGCTATGTGGTCAGGGATAGACGTTTGTGTTTTGTTTATTGCTAGGTTATGTGACTAAATTCATTAGCCTACGTTACAGTTTCCTAATTTGTAAAATAGCTGAAATAAGGACTCAATTCTGTAGCACATTGTTCCTTCCATTAAAGCTTTATAATCTCATTTTAAAGATAAACCACATATATGTATTACAAAAATAAAAAATAAGCATCTAAGACATCATGAGAAGAGCACAAAATGATTCGTATAGAATTCTGTGCTATGAGAGTCCAAAGGCTAGAGATAGCATTCTAGGTGGGGCAGGATCTGGGAAAGTAAAGTAGGAAGTGGGATCTGAGGTTGTCCTTAAAAGAGGAGGGTATCCTAAGTAGGCTGGAGAACTGGGGAGGTGGGGAAAATACATGAGCAATGCCAAGAAAACCGAACTCTTGTTCTGTGGGCAGTGACTGCATCAGTTTTGACTGAAGTGGAAGACTCTAGGCATGGTTTCAATGGGAAAAGTTTTGGAGTTGGCCAGACTTTGTTTTTTTCTTAGATCTGTAGCCCTGGGCAAAAATATAAATAATACTGATGCCTTCATTTCTTAACTTACAAGTTATTTTAAGGATAAAAAGAGATTATTTAGGACATTTAGGATAGGGTTGGAAAATTTTTCTGTACAGGACCAGATAGTACATATTGCTTTTGTGGGCTGTTTGGTCTCAGTTGTAACTTCTCAACTCTGCCAGTTGTAGTCCTTAAGCAGCCATAGATAATACATAATGCATAAACAAATGGGTCCGGCTGCCTTATCATAAACTATATTTACAAAAACAGTCCAGTAGTCTGGATTTGGCTCACAGGCCTTAGTTTACCCTCTGCTGATTTGGGCAAAGTCGTGGCACTTAGAAGTTATTCAATAAACGTTATCTCCCATCCCCTCCTCTGGGTTTTGAGAGATGACAGTAATCTGGGATTTCTGAAAGTCTTATCTAAAGATTCTCTGTGAGCTCATTTATTAGTAGGCATGATGTAGTGACCAAACTAGATAAAATTTCTACTTTGATGCATAAAATCCTCCGCTTCTCTTTCTCCAGATTTACGTTTGGGTCTGTGATGTAAGGAACACGAGAGAAAGTACCTTGTTAGGCCAACATTAATGTTTTCCCCTCTAAAGAGAAACAGCACCTACCAACAACAACAGCAGAGAGAGAATTACGGGCTCCAGGAGGGAAGATATTTATTTTCCTTTATGTTTAAGGTCTTACGGACTGGAGCTTCCCAAAATAAGACAAAATTCAAGTTGAGACAGAATTAAAGGAAACTACTAAAGTTTTACCCGAACATTGGCTTTAGAAAATAATGTGAAATGAGGCTAGGATTTACCAGTGCTTGGGCTTAATTGTAGAATTGTACAAATTCACTGTAAGACCAAGAAGTAGAGAATGGCCAAGGAAATTGACTAGAAAAGACATTGCCTTCTGACTATTTATTTACCTAGTGATAATGTAGCTTCTTATTATGAGACCAAAATGTGTCGTTCATCTGTTATGGTCCCAGAAGTACATCCTTCTTTTTTCCTTTTCATATGCCTTTTCTTTCATTTAAATCGTGGTGTTTCCCCAGTTGTAGGCAGCAGGGTGGTTTTGAATTTTTAAAATGCTAAGCCTGCATCAAAATGGATTAAAGGAGCAATACAATTAGCATGAAAATAGCTTTCTAAATAGTTTTATTATTTTCAAAGAATAGTTAGGGAGCAACCACTAAAGGACAGCGAATCAACTGCTCATACCAAAAAACCCAAACCCACTCCCATCAAGTTGATTCTGACTCATAGCGACCCTATAAGACAGGGTAGAACTGCCTCATAGGGTTTCCAAGGCTGTCTTTATGGAAGCAGACTGCCACATCTTTCTCCTGCAGAGCAGCTGGTGGGTTTGAACCACCGACCTTTCTGTTAGCAGCCAAGTGCTCAAACACTGCTCCACCAGGGCTCCTTAGGGGAGGCTGATAGCATCTGCTGTTTCAGGGATTCCCAGGGGAATGTGAGACTGTGACTGGAGAGGTAGTTTCTGTTCTGGTGTCTCACAGCAGAATGATCTACCTTTTTCTGCAAGCAAGAGTGGGGAAGCTTCAGTTGGCGGGAACCTGCCATATAACAGCCCTGGGACTTCACTCCTCCCCCTCCCCCTCTTCTTTTGATAGTCCACCTCAGACAGCTTCAAATAGAGAAGTCTGTTGTAGTATCCACCCAGTGACCACATGCCCCTCTTACCATGATTAATGGCAATTTAGTCTAACTAATAACTTGATAGAAATTCTAGACTTTGGCGATTTTATTGCTTCTACAGATTTTTTGTAATCATGTTTTCTCAGCAAAATATTTTCCTCTTCTAATATTACAGATGTCGTCTGTAGAGAGAAATGGAAAGGGGTAAAGCATGAAAGTAAACATCACATTTTTCCTTTTGCATCATAGCTATAACTTATTCTCTTGTTTTTTCTAACAAATCACAATTAGATTTTGACATGCGCACGTGTGTGTGTGCGTGCATTTGTGGTGTGTCTGTTTAAGATTTTGGACATCCTTTTTAAAATGGAGAGTTTTAATGGGACATATCCAAAAGCAGTTGAACAGCCTTAATGATGAGTAGCTAATGGATGCAGCAGTAAAGTGCATTGCAGATAAAGAGGGGTGGGGCAGTATTTAATATCAGTACAAATGCATTCATCAACAGTGGTCTGCTAATATATATTTAGCATTAAAAATGTTCATCAGTTGATGGTGTGACGCACATTCTGTATCTTTCTATTGATTCTGGCTCCATGTTGAAAAAAAATAGACATATGCTGCACAGAGCTAGACAGGAATGTACACAGTAATGCATGCGATCGTCAGGTACTGAGGATCAAGCTGTGCAGTGCTTGATGGGCTGATTATCAGATTTAGGGAGTATACAGTACTAGTGAAAACAAGCCTACTGATTTTTGTAGGAATTGTATCTTTTCGTTTGCTACATTTTTTATTGAAATTTGAATTTTTAGCTTTTTGTGGAGTGATGCTTCAATCGAAATATAAGAAAAAAATTGAACATGTTCCAAACAAATTCAAGAGCAAAATCAATATTCTGTGTATGTTAGAGCTTCTAACTGGAAAAAGCTATTGTATGTTAATAAAAGTTATTTTGTCTCGTACTTAGTGGCTTATAGCACTTAGGAAAAACATAATTTTTTAGTGATTAACTCCTTTTGCCTTCTATATATGAATTGTTGGCTTTAACATTTTAAATACTTGTTTTAACAATAGCACTGTTCTCACATTTTTTTTATTTCATTAGGTCCTATATGTGACTTTGTTTTATTTAATATTTCCTTTGATATTAGTCAATTATTTTTTCAAAAATACCATAGCAGTTTAAAGTCTTTGTGACCTACATGCCTGATTAGAAAAAAATCTCATTAATGAAGAAGATGCTAATCAGTAATGGAGTTGGCCAGCTATCTAAACATTCTACATGATCCCTTGTTGATTTAAGTTAATGAAAGCACAGTGCAGATTGTGAAAGCTCCCTGTGTTGGCAGATGTGAAGAAGATTGAAGGAATCTCATTCTGGACTATATCAGACACTAAACCAAGCAAGCAGGGGCCAGGGGCAAGCATATGTTTTATCAGATGATTTTTATGTTACTTAAACGTTGAGTTTTTTGTTTGAAGGCAGGAGAAGAAGTCAAGATGAACGAATGCACAGTGCCTTCTTTTTAAATTATAAATAAAAGTGCAAACAGTTGTAACTGTATGTCTTACTAGACTGCAATGAATGGTCAGCTCCATCCATTCAAATCATTCTGAATTCTTCTTTCCTTTTCTTGCAGGTGACATCACACAAAAAGGATATGAAAAGAAGAGGTCAAAATTAATTGGAGCCTACCTGCCACAACCTCCAAGTATGTAAACCTTGATTAATAGCCTAAGTCACCTAGTTTTAAGACTAAAACATGCAACATGCAAGAGGCAAATTGAGGAGAAATAACTGATACCAAATAACTTTTTAGTCTCTAATCTGCATGAAGAGCATACATTTTATCTGTGAACTAGTCATATCTAATTCCTTTGTCTGATTATACATATATTTTGTGTATGTAGAAGGCACAATATAATTTTTCTGTAAATATGCCTAATAAATTTAATAGGTATTTCATCTATAGATGAAGAGCAATAATGTGTTTGATTACTTTTGGAATGCTATAACCATAAAAAATTTGAGAGGATTTTTGATTTAAATATGACTTTTGGTTGGGTAAGTTAAACATTATTGCTATTTGTTACAGTTTACATTAGTCCAAGGTTTTGGCTAATGTTATTAGGGGCCAAATCTTGAAATCTAGAAAATGATATAATATCGTACCTGGGATTATGAAATGATAAAAGTTGGTTATGTTTTAAATGTAGTTGTAAAACATGTATTATCTATTCTTGCCCAAAGGACAAATTCTGTTTTATTCCAGTGTTTCTCTGTGCAAGTTCATAGACCCTCTTTGTACTTGAGCTAGGTTCTATAAATTTCAGGAAAAGAAAAGAGTATTAGACTAAAATTCTAACACCTTAGTTCTAATATAAGCTCATGTAGGTTTGAAAGTGACCTTGAAAATATCCTAGGCAGTAGGAATGGTTTAAAGCTAATGTAGTTAATTCCCCCCCTCTCCCGCCGCCAAGGAAAAGGGATAGTGACATAAATTTTAAGCTGCTAAATAAACTCTACAATTTTCGTAGCACTGTTGAAACAAAAATTTTAATACTCAGATGCTTCTGCTATAAAAAGTTTAAGTATACACATGTATACACATGTGCACACACTCCCCCCTCAATACCATTATTTCTTCTGCTATCCTGAGGCTTTGACATACCCGTAGTATTCTGTTATATGGTAAGGAGAGTTTTATGGAGCTCATGTTCCAGGAAATTTAATTTGTATGTTGAATTTCTGCTGTATTTGTAGTTTTTATTTTGATTTTCTATGTGTATCTTTCCTTGATTTTTAAGAAGGTTAAAGATGGGCCTATTTTAACAGCTCTTACTAGCTGAGGTGCTGGATTTTCTTGTTGTCTGGCTTATAAAAGGAAGAAACCCTGTTCTATCAGCGTGAAGAAAAAGTAATTGCGTTTGGCTGAAACCCACGTGTGAAAAGACTTTAGGAGCAAATGTTGGAGGCAGATGATTAGGCAGTGGTCTTTTTTCCCTCCTTTTCCTTCTTTCTCTCTTCTAACAGAATCACCATGATGATCATCTTAATATTCCCAATGCCGAATTAGTTTCTGCAGGTGCATCTTCAGGTCTTGGAAGAAGGCTGGTGGGGCCAATTACAGGCTGTTGACATTAGTGAATTTTAATTTCCATGCCTTACCAAACAAAAGTGAAACAGAAGCAGTTCCTCGCTTTCCCAGAGGACAGTTCTCAAGCCGCGGCTTTGCTAAGAACATGATTGACCCCAGTGTTGGCTGGGTGCTGATGACCTGGACTGTGTTGTGTGGTCCCTTTGGTGTTATATGTGCTGTTCCGCATGGGGTCGGCAGCTCTGCTCAGTGCTGTAACAAATTTTAAAAAAAACTAAAATTTGAATTAATTAGTTTTTTTTCAACTTGTTACAGCAGCGAATGGAGCTGCCGTGGTTCGGTGTAGACTGCAGCACAGTGAAGGAGCCACAAGAAGAATGCTCCGCTCTGCCAACATCGGAGTGTGTGACATCCGAGAAGCAGCAGCCAGAGAGCGGGTGGCCAGCACCACAGGAAACCGGCCTCTGTTTTACTTTCGTTTCGGTGAGCTCTACTTTACTGAGAGAGAAAGAATCCTACTGGCAGGGGTACATATTTGAAAATTGACAGCCTACTTAACATTATCCTATATAAAATGGTAGTGTTTAGCATTGGGTAGGATCGTATTTTGAGCCCCACATTTTTCAGAAGAGATCCTGTGACTTATCCAAGGTCACGGTGCTTGTTAATTGCAGAGCCTGTTATAGAACCCAGAGTCATGATCATCCTAGTATCTCAGACCCCAGTTCTGTATATTTTTATTATAATCTTTACTCTGTTTTTATAACCCTTTTTTGTAGTTGCAGCACCACTTATAAGGCACTTCAGAAAAAAGTATGCATGACAAATTATAAAACTCATCTTAAAATTATTAATCCTCTACTAACTTTTATCTTATGGCCAAAGACCTAGGTAAGGATAGACTATTCAATTTTGGCTTTCTGAGGCCTATTTAAAAGGAGTAAATTTGAGATCTGCAGCTCGATAATGTTCCTGTCTCCAAAGAGCAAAGCTATGGATTTTTGAAGAAGAAAAATCAAACCAATCAGTCATAGAGTGTACTCTTAAAGGTAATGATCCTATTCAGAGCTCAGAATTACTTTGATGGATAATATTTTGAACTTCCAGCCTTTTGGTTAGCAACTCAGTGTGTTAACCACTTGCACCACACCAAAAGGTTAGAGGTTTGCATCACACCAAAAGATTGGCGGTTCAGATCCACCCAGTGATGCCTCAGAACCTGGTGATATACTTCTGAAAAATCAGCCATTGAAATTCCTATGGAGCACAGTTCTACTCTGACACACATGGAGTTGCTGTGAGTCGAAATCGACTCAATGGCAACTGGTTGAGTACTCCCAGCCTTGTCTCTGAGCTTCTGCTTATATTCATCCTGTATAAGCCAGCTTGCTGATGGGTATAATGGCCTTGCCAAGGAAAAGAACGGAGGGGTTGATGAGTAGGTGACAGAGTTGAGTGTTATCTGTAAGGTTCATTTAAGAATGTATGTAAGCAGTATGTATCTGATTAATACTTGATGAAATTAGAGCTTATTTGGGAACGTTTATATGTTGATCTCTCTGACCAACCCCAGTTTCCATTAAGAGGTAGAAAAGAAAACTGTCAACCAAGAATACTATACGCAGTGAAACTATCCTTCAAGAATGAGGGTAAAATTAGAACATTCCCAGACAAACAGAAGCTGAGAGAGTTCATATCTACCAGACCAGCCCTACAAAAAAATGCTAATGAAAGTTCTGTAGATGGAAGGGAAAAAACACTAGACAAAAATTCAAAGCTATGCATAAGAAGAAAGATCCCTAATAAAGTGAAATGTATGGACAAGAATAAGGGCTAATAATAAGGTATTAATGCTTAATGATTCTAAATGTTTTGTCCTTCATGTTTTTAATAACAAATATATAAAAAGCCAGGATAAAATTATGTTACAGGGCACATGAAATATTAAGAGGTAATTAATGATAACAAAAATGAGGGAGAGGAATGGTATAGATATAGAATTTCTTATATGTTACTGAAGTAAGCTGATACCACCTTACCCTAGAATGTTATAAATACAAGCTCTTAAATGTAATATTCATGGTAACCACTAAGAAAATTTATGAAAAACATACTCAAAAGGAAAAGAGAAGGGAACCGAAAGGCTCACTACAATAAACCAACAAAACACAGAAGCAAGCAGTACTAAAGGACAAAGACAAAGAAAGATTCAGACACACAAAAAACAACAAAATGACAGAAATTAAGTCACTTTTTATCAGTAATTACAGTGAATGTAAATGGACTAAATGCTACAGTCAAAGGCAGAGAGTGGCAGAAGAGATTAAAAAACATGATCCAACTGTATGCTGTTTACAGGAGACACACCTTAAACCCAAGGACACAAATAGGTTGACAGTGCAAGGATGGAAAAAAATATTCCATGCAAATAATAACCAAAAGAGAGCTGGGGTGGCAATCTTAATATCAGATAAAGTAGACTTCAAGACAAAATCTGTCAGAAGAGATATAGACGGACATTATATAGTGATAAAACCAAAAAAATCAAACCCACTGCCATCGAGTTGATTCCAACTCACAGTGATGCTATAAGACAGAGTAGAAGTGCCCCATAGGGTTTGCAAGGCAGTAAATCTTTATGGAAGCAGATAGGCACATCATTCTCCCACAGAGCAGCTGGCGATTTCAAACCGCCAACCTTTCAGTTAGCAGCCAAGTGCTTTAACCACTGCGCCACCAGGGATACTCTATAATGATAAAAGTCGATCAATCAAGAAGATTTAACAGTGGTAAATATATTTGCACCCAACATTGGGGCACCTAAACATATAAAGCAAACGCTGATAGAATTGAAGGGAGAAATAGTACTACAATAATAGTTGGAGACTTAGATACACTACTTTCAATATTGGACAGAACATCTAGAAAGAAGATCAACAAGGAAACAGAAAACCTAAATGACACCATAAACCTAACAGACATCCATAGAACACTAACCCCAAAACAGCACAATATACATTGTACTCCAGTGCACGTGGATCATTCTCCAGGATGGACCACATTTTAGGTTACAAAGCAAATCTTGATAAATTATGATAAAAATGCAAAGGCAGTACTCACAGGGAAACTTATACCAATAAATGCCTACATAAAAGAAGAAGGATCTCAAATTAACAGCCTAACTCAACAGCTCTGGGAACTAGAAAAAGAAGAGCAAACTAAGCCTAAGCCTACCAGAAGAAAGGAAACAAACAAACAAAAAAAAATCAGAGCAGAAATAAATAAAATCAAAAACAGAAAACCAGTAGAGAGAATCAATAAAACCAGAAGTTGGTTCTTAGAAAAGCTCAATTAAATTGACAAACCTTTAACTAGACTGAAAGAGAAAAGATGCAAATAACCAAAATAAAAAATGAAAGCGGGGATGTTACAAATGACCTAATAGAAATAAAGAGAATTATGACATAATATTATGAACAACTGTATGACAACAAACTGGATAACCTAGATGAAATGGACAAATTCTTAGAAGTATACAATCTATCCAAATGGACTTAAGAGGAAATAGAAGTCTCAACAGACCCATTAACAAGTGAAGAGATTGAATCAGTGATCAAAAACCTCCTAATGACAACAACAAAAAAGTCCTGGGCCAGATGGCTTCACTGGGGAATTCTTCCAAACATTTAGAGAAGAATTGATACTAATACTGCTTAAACTCTTCCAAAAGATAGAGAAAGAAGGAGTACTCCCTAATTTATTCCATGTAGCAAATGTACCCCTGATACCCAAACCAAACAAAGACACCACAAGAAAAGAAAACCACAGGTCAGTGTCGCTTATGAATATAGATGCAAAAATCCTCAACAAAATACTGGTGAATGGAATCCAGCAGCATATTAAAAGAGTCATATGCCACGACCAAGTGGGATTTATTGCAAGAATGTAGGGATGATTCAACGTTAGAAAATCAATCAACGTAATACACGACATCAGTAGAACAAAGGAAAAGAACCACATGATCATCTCTATGAATGCAGAAGAAAAATTCGATAAAATACAAACCTTTTCTGGATGAAAACCCTAAAGAAGATTGGAATAGACAGAAAATTCCTCAGTATGATTCAGGGCATATCTGAAAAGCAAACAGCTGACATTATACTTAATGGAGAAAGACTGAGAGCTTTCCGTTTGGAATTGGGAACAAGGCAAGGGTGCTCACTCTCACCACTTCTATTCAATATTGTATTAGAAGTCCTAGGCAGAGCATTAAGACAAGAAATATAAATAAAAGGTATCCATATTGGAAAAGAAGTAAAAATATTTCTATTCGCAGATAATATGATGCTATATATACAAAATACCAATCTTATATATTGAAAATCCCAAAGAGTCCACAAGAAAACTTCTAGAGCTAATACAGGAATTTAGCAAAGTTGCAGCGTCCAAGATTAGCAAATAAAAATCAGTTGGTTTCTAGAACCAACAATGAGAAATCTGAAAGGGATATTAGATAAACAATTCCATTTACAATAGCATTTAAGATAATAAAATACCTAGGAGTAAATCTAACCAGGGATGTGAAGGACTTATACAATTCAAACTATAAAAAACTGCTGAAAGACATTAAAGAAGACTTAAATAATGGAAAAATTTTCCATGTTCATGGATTGGAAGACTTAATATTGTTAAGATGTTAATACTACCTAAAGTAATCTATAGATTCAGTACAATCCTGATCTAAATGACAACAGCCTTCTTTACCGAATGGCAAAACCAATCAACTTTTTTTTTAATTAATTTTTTTATTGTTGTACTTTAAGTGAAAGTTTACAATTTAAGTTAATGTCTCATACAAAAATTTATACATACATTGTTATGTGACCCTAATTTTTCTCGCTGTACTGTGACACCACACTCCTCCATTCCACCTGATTTCCCGTGTCCATTCAACCAGCTCCTATCCCTCTCTGCCTTCTCATCTCATCTCCAGGCAGAAGCTGCCCATTTAGTCTCAATGAGTATCATTTTATGTCCCATAGTACAGTCTAATCTTTGTCTGAAGAGTTGGCCTCGAGAAAGGTTTTACTTCTGAGTTGACAGAGAGTCTGGGGGCCATGCTCTCTAGAGTTCCTCCAGTCTCTATCAGACCATTAAGTCTGGTCTTTTTACTGGAATTTGAGTCCTGCACCCCACTTTTCTCCTGCTCCATCAGGGACTCTGCTCTATTCCCTGTCAGGGCGGTCACTGGTGGTAGCTGGGCACCATCTAATTCTTCTGGTCTCAGGCTGATGCAGTCTCTGTTTTATGTGGCCCTTTCTTGTCTCTTGGGCTAATACTTTCCTTGTGTCTTTGCTGTACTTCATTCTTCTTTACTCCAGGTGGGTTGGGACCAATTGATGCATCTTAGATGGCTGCTTGCTAGCTTTTAAGACCTCAGATGCCATTCACCAAAGTAGGATGCAGAACATTTTCTTAAAAAA